ACCGATCCGCGGTCGATTACGTGGGAGTCCAGCGACATAGCCATTACGCTAACTGCTGGTTCCCCCAGCTATAGTATTTAAAATTATTTGGTTGTAGTGAAAAATTCAGTTGACTTTCTACAGCTATGCTCCTGTTAAAGAAGCATAGTATGACTTTTCACTTTCAGATATAAAACCCCACTGTTGAAACTGCCATTGAAAATCAGCTGAATAATACAATTTCAGCTATTCTATGTGTGTGTTTTCTTTTTTTTTTTTTTGGAGAGGTTTTCGCTATAGGGCGTGTGCGCTCGTGAGACAGACAGAGACTGACAGAGAGATAGAAAGCGAGAAATCACCCCCCCCAGGGGGGATGGCCACGCCGCAATCCCTTCTCCTCCATTCTCCTCTTGGGATCTTGGGCACGCACGCACACGCGCCTGGCTTGAGTTTAAGCCACCAGGTCCAGGACTCGAACTGCAGTCGACTCTGTGGGAGTCCAGCGACATAGCCATTACGCTAACTGCTGGTCCAGCTATTCTGTGTTTTTAAAATAAACATCTGTTAATTTTGTGCTTCTCATTCAACAATATATAATGTTTTATTCTTCATTAGTTTTAAAGGAGCATTTTTAAAAATTAGGAATTAGAGAGTGATGGATATCTTTGGTTCTGAAAGTGTATTAGGCTGTTGGGAAAGTCATGACATATTTTTTATGTTTTTCTGTGCAAAAATGTGGCATAACTTTCCCAATAAATAACTTATTTTATTACTATTGTGTACATTAACTTAATATTTTTGTTGACCAGAAAAAAAAAATATTGCAGCTTTTATAGATAGTACATCACAGTATCATTTTTTGCCTCATTATTATTATTCATATTTATAAAGATTAAAGACTAGTAAGGAATGTATCTAAACCCTCTCCCTTAATTTTTTTCAGATACTTCTTACCACTCAGTTTCCTTTTAAAATAAGTGAAAAAGTCTTACAAGTTCTGACCAACATCTTTTTGTATCATGATTTCTCAATTCAAAACTTTATAAAAGGACTTCAGGTAAGAAGACACTAATGGGCTTGAAAATTCACAAACTGATTCTGAATAAGTTGTGTGTTATTTCAGAATTAATAATGTGTAGTGTGATAATCAAAGCATTTTAAAGGGCAAAATTAAGTAAATTCAAGTTATTTTAGGATCTACCATTCCGTTGTTATCTTGCAGCAAAATATAGAATGTCAACCCATAAATAACAGGCAGAAAAATTTTCTAAAAGAAAAATGATGTTTATTTGGGACTAGGCATTGCAATGTGGAATATGCTTCCATGACAAACCAGTCATGTTCAGAGAGGTAAGGGAAGACAGATTTTTTTAAAGAAAAATTAGGAGGGATTATTGTATGCATTGTTTTGGGACAATTAACTCTGGCTACCAGGATCAATGACAAGGATCGTGTTAGGTCTATTAGGCAGGCAGTGTCTGGGCTGATGTTCTCACGGAAGTACTTTTTGTTTAAAGTTGTAGTGACATTTGGGCAAGATTGGAGTTTCAGCAGAGTCCTCGTTACTGATCTTATCAGGCACACTGGTGTGAGACTAGCCCCCTCTAGGGCCTTTCCCAGTTTAGTTCACTCAGAGTTTAACACACCTTGACACAAATGACTCTATTTTGATTCTTAAATCTTTCATAAGAGAAAACATTAATTATCTGGGGCCGGCAGGTGGTATGGTAGTTAAGGGTGCTGGACTCCTCCCGCATGGCAAACTGCAGTTTGAGTCCTGGACCTGGTATCATGCTTCTCTCTCTCGCTCTCTCTCTCTGTCCCTTTCTGGTCAAATTTAAATAAATAAAGTTAAATAAAATAATTCTTTTTAAAAAAAGAATACATTAATTATCAATAATAGGAGAACTCTCTCCATTTCATTGATTCTTAAACATTCTGGGGGTAGGGAAGAAGAAATGTTTTTTGTTGGAGATACTAATGAAAGCTTTGAGATCTCTCTGCCTAGGAACTGCTATATGTAAGGGGTCAATAAATTTTCTGTAAAGGGGCAGATATTAAACATTTTTAGCTTCACCTCCTTTATGTGGCTAGTTCTGCTTTTGCTTTTGTTTCTTATTTAATAACCCTTTAAAGATTTAAAAAAATATTTTGGGAACTAGCAGTTAGTGTAATGGCTATGTCGCTGGATTCCCACGTAGTCGACCGCGGTTCGCGTCCTGGACCCGGTGGCTTAGAACTCAGGCAGGGTGTGGGTGTATGCATGCGTGCCCAAGATCCCGAGAGGAGAATGGAGGAGAAGGGATTGCAGCGTGACCATCCCCACTGGGGGGTGATTTCTTGCTTTCTGTCTCTATGTCTCTCTCTGTCTATCTGGTGAGTGCACGTGCCCTATAGCGAAAACCTCTCAAAAAAAAATAATTTTTTTTTTTAGTTCCTGGGCCAGATAAATCAGATTCATATTCCCTGTACATATATATGTATGTGTATATTTATTTATAATAATTTTTGTATTATGAATGCATTTTCGCTAGGGATTCATGAATTGCTAAAAGCTGATTCATGATTTTAGTTTATAATATCTGCTCTAATCTAAAAAAAAAAACCCATTGGTCAGTTGAAAAGTTAACATTTTCGGGACCAGCAGTTGATGTAATGGCTATGTTGCTGGACTCCCATGTTATCAACTGAGGTTCGAGTCCCGAACCCATTGGCTTAAACTCACACCAACTGCGTGCGCATGCATGCTCAGGATTCTGAGAGGATAATGGAGAAGGGATTGCGGTGTGATCATGCCCCATGGGGGATGATTTCTCTCTTTCTATCTCTCTGTTTCTCTCTGTCTTTCTGTCAAACACATTCGGCCAATAGCAAAAACCTCTCAAAAAAAAAAAAAAGTTAACATTTTCTTCTCCTGGCAAGTAACTAAATTATCTTAACAAAGTAAAGTCATTGTGAATACATGCCAATTGTCAAGTTTGTTGAAACCTATATATTAGTAACCTTCAGTGCATAAGTTTAATATGGTAATACTTCATCTTTGTACAGTGCCTTAAAGATGGTAAATTCTCACGTGTATTCATCCTCCACATAAAACACTGTAGTATATTCTTATAACCAATATCTGTCTTATTTTTCTATTTTGACTTTTTAAAAAAGATATTTTAGAGCAAGAAAACATTTACTTTAGCAATATGCAAAATTAGTTTATATTGAAATGTAACTAATTTCCTAATTACTTCTCTTAATTCATCTCATTGATGTATTTATTTATTCATAAATATTTATCAAGAGCCAACTGTAAGCCAAGCACTATGTTGAGAAACAAAGGAAAAGAAATCTCTACCTTCAAAATTGCTTATGAAGAAAGAAGAAGAGTAAACACACAGTTACACTTTTGAGTAGTCCATGCTAAGAAACATGCCTTAGAGTTTCATAGGAAAACAGAAGTGTTTCCTAAGGAAGAGGCCCTAACCAAATCAAAATTGGAAGAGCCTTTCAGTCAAAGGCAACAGAAGAGGAGTGAGATGTGTTAGAAAGCTATTATAGTAATCTAGAGAGAGTTAGACTGGATCTAAACTAAGGAACTGAGAGTAGAACTAGAGAGGAGGAAACAAATTTGAGAATGAAATAAAATCAACAGACTGATGGCTAAGTGGGTAGGATATGTAAGAGAAGAGCAAGGTGACAGAGTTTTCTTTTTTTATTGTTCTTATTGTATTCGTAGGGATATGTTGGATATAAAGATTTAGTGCTCAGGAGAAAAAATGTACTAAAAGTAGATATTTAAGATTTAGAATTCCCACTGTGGGGGAGTAATTTCTCATTTTCTATCTCTGTTTCTCTCTGGTGAGCACATATGCCCTATAGCAAAAATCTCTCTCAAAAAAAAAAAAAAGAAAAAGGAAAAAAAAGGCATTAAAAGGTGGTGATTGGGGCCAGTAGATGGCATAGCAGTTATGTTGCTGGACTCTCCCACATGGCTAACTGCAGTTTGAGTCTCAGACTCAGTGGCTTGAGATTCATAGATGGACATGTGTGTGTCCTTGCCCAGAATCCCAAGAGGAGAATGGAGGGGAAGGGATTGTGGCATGGCATTCTTCCTTGTGGGGTTGATTTCTTGCTTTGTTCTCTCTGTTTGGCAAGCAGACACACCTATAGCAAAAATCTTTCTTAAAAAAAAAAGTGGTCATTAAAATCAAAAATTGAGGATGAAAAATCACCTCAATGGAGTGAGGAAAGGCAAAGGATAGAACCCAGAGGCAAGATGACAGGTAGGAGGAAGCAGTAAAAAGGGACACTAACACAAGGAAACCCAGTTCAAAGTGGAATACCACTGCAGTCAAGAGAAAAAAAGTTTCAGGAAATACAAACACTATTCCAAATACCTTGAGAACGTGAGTAAAGGAAGGACATTAACCAAGTTAGTTAATCTCTCTCTGTCTCAGATTCATCATCTATGAAATGAAATCAAGACCAGCAGGTGGCAAAATGTTTATGTAGCTGGACTCCTACCTGGCTGGTTGCATTCGAGTCCTGAACCTGAAGGCTTTAAACTCAAGCCAGCACATGTGCGTGCATGCATAAGATCCTGAGAGGAAAATTGAGAAGGGATTGTAGCATGGCTAGCCCTCCTAAGGGGTGATTTCTCTCTATCGCTCTCTGTCTGTCTCTCTTTTTGGTGAGTACAGGCACCCTGTAGCAAAAACCTTTCTAAAAATAAATAAATAAAATAAAATGAGATCAGATCATATGATTTTTAGATTCTTGATGATTCTATATTTTTAAAGAATTGTTACTTAAGTTTATTTATTATTATTTTTAAAATTTACAGTAGGGCACACATGCTCACCAGAGAGACAGATGGAAAGTGAGAAAGCAACCTGCCATGTCTGGGACTTGTAGGAGTCCAGTGCCTTAACCACCAAGCCATCTGCTGGCCCCAGGTTCCTTATAATTTGCTAAGCACTTCTTTGTACTAGGCACTTCGCTGAATATTTATATTGTTTTACTAATATCTATTAGCATCATCAGTTTTGCACACAAGGAAATTGAGATTTGTGCCAAGTAACTTGACCAAGGACACACAGTTAAGTTTATAGTCTTGGGACCAACAGATGACCTAACAGTTATGTTGCTGGATTCCCATGTAGTTGACTGTGGTTTAAGTCCTGGACCCAGTGACTTAAATGTCATACTGGTGCAAGACCAGCAGATGGTGTAATGGTTATGTAGTTAGACTCCCATGTAGTTGACTACAGTTCATATCTTGGAACTGGTGGCTTAAACTTCATGCTGGGTGCTTGTGTATGCGTGCCCAAGATCCTGAGAGGAGAGTGGAAGAGAAGAGATTGCAGATGGCCATCCTCCCTGGATATGATTTTTTGCGTTCTCTTTCTCTGTCTCTGTCTGTCTTGCAAGCACATGAGCCCTATAGCAAAACAACAACAACAACAACAACAAAAAAACTCACACCAGGTGCAGATATGTGCATGCCCAAGATCCTGAGATCATGAGTGAATGAGGAAGAAGAGATTGCGGCATGGCCATTCCCCCCGGGGGAGGGGGTGATTTCTTGCTTTCTGTCTCTTTCTGCATCCTATAGCAGAAATCTTTCCTTATAAAAAAAAAAAGTCTTTAGATGCCATTTGTCTATCATCATCATTGGAAAATGTTTCTAAGTTCTGATGTCTATAGGCAAGGTTGCAGAGCATAAAATCATTCTTTGTTTCTTTAAAGAATTATTTTACTTAACTTTATTTATGTATTTTAATTTGACCAGAGAGGGACAGAGTGAGAGTGAGAGAGAGAGAGAGAAAGCAAACTCCCAGGTCTAGGACTCGGACCATGTTCGGCCATGTGGGAGTCCAGCGCCCTTAACCACCAAGGCTGGCCCCAAGGCATAAAATCATTTTGTAGTGTATGTTTAAGCATACATTAACCAACTTGTTAATTGACACTCGCTTAGACAAAATTGCTAAGTGACTGGTTTCTTATCCTACTTAGAGCTCTACTGTAACTCATGTGACTTCCTTCCATTCCTCCTCCCCAGCAAATCCACTGCCTTGTTCCATTTTTATTTTTCTCATGTTTAAAAAGTAGTTTTAAAATTGGAATAATTGTTTTCATAGTACTTGACTTGAACAGTTGCTTCCTATTTTTTACGTATATCTAAGTTTGGCTGGCCCTATGCTGTTACAGCCTCAGAGAATGAACTTTTGGAGAATTTCCTCTAGTGCTGGTTGTCTTAGTCTCATCTCTATAGGCTCAGCAATTCTAATCAGGAAGTATCAAGCTCATAGTTGCTAGTTTATGCCAACCAAATACCTTAAGACTGACATATAACGAGCATGTTAATTTATTAATTTGTGATGGGGAATGCTATTTTCCAGTGACCAAAATGTGTTTTCATCATTGCCTAACTGCCTTTTGGTATCGGGATATTTGGAAAACAAAACTGGTCATGAAAAGGTTAATTAGAATAAAAATAATGATTATTTGGAGAGTCTTGAAAGCTGTATCTTGCAAGTTATGTTAGATTTTGGAAAATTATCCGTCCATTTATTGTGCAGCCCACAGTGTTGTGTTATTTGAATTCTTATATCCACTAGATACCTACCATGTTTTCTTCCATAAAATAAAACTAAACTTAAAAGATAAATTTTTACTATTATTTTTTATCAATAGGTATGGCTTTTTCCCTTATAGCCTTGTAACAGACCAGTTTTTACACTATTTTTCATTTGATTTTTGTTTTTTAATGATTACTGGGGCATCTATTAGAACATTAGACCGCTAGGTCACACTCTAGTTCATCTACACCAGATTGCAATTGTGAGTTACTTCGGCAAATAAGCTAAATTTTATTTCAGATTTTCTGACCTTGTCCCAGAATTAGATTCCTAAAATATTAGAGGTATATAGCCATTTATATGATGTCTACAGTGTTACTGTGACATTATTAAGGATATTAGTGCCATAAATACTTTTTGCTCTTTAAGAAAAACAACCTTAAAATTGAGCATAGAGCAGATTTGCTGCCAAAATATAATAAATATATTTAATCTTCAAATTTCTTTCAGCTTTCTCTATTAGAGCATTTCTACTCTCAACCTTTAAGTGTTCTGTGCTGTAATCTCCCAGAAGCCAAGAGAAGAATAAATTTTTTATCAGATAATCAATGTGAAAACATTCGACGTCTTCCATCATTTAGGAGGTAAAAAGAGAAGTACATATTTAACACATCGTATACCAGAGTTTGGGATGAATTAAGGACTCTCATATTCAGTTATTTTTGAAGTGGGGAAAAGATTAAAAACTTTTTCTTTGTTTAGAGCAAAATGAAGCCATTCTGTTTTTAATTGTGGGATTTCTTTGTTAGATTTGAAAATTTGAGTTATTAAAATGGGACAATATTTCAGGCTCCTTCAGATATACCCTTTAGAAATAAGATGTCCTATTTCTGGGGTTTATTTTCTTTATATCTGATTAGACTTACAGACAATTAAGAAGAGCTAATTTAAGGAGCTAAAAATCAATAGTAAGCCATGATTATCACCTTGAATTTCTTTTTGAGAAGAAAAAAAAATATGTCCACAAGTGAGGTAGTTCTTTTTCTTTGTATTTTATTCAGAGATGTACAATGTTTAATGTTCTTTTTTGTGTGTATATGGGATGGTAAACATTTTAGGTACGTGGAAAAGCAAGCTTCAGGAAAGCAAGTTGCACTATTGACCAATGAGAGAGTTTTGAAGGTAGGCCTATATTTATAATACGTTTGTTTCAGTTTCATTTTCTTGTTTTTTTCTTCATGAAAAAGAATATGTACATAACACATACTGAGTTAATTTTATATTGTAAAAAACGTATCTTACATCCTAATTTTGGACAGTGAAGTACTAGGCCTTGAGAGTCAATTAGAAATGCAAATATTAAATAGACAAGACATTTTTACCAAGAAAAAAAATATTAATTAGAACACTGGCTTGTTTCTGTGGTCTGTTTAGAAAGCACTTTTAGATCTAGAAATCTGCTATGTAGATCTCTTTCCACACAGCAATTTTAGAATCTGCAGGAAATCTCGTTTTAATATTCTTCTAAAGACTGTCATAAGTTAAAGCATGTAAAGCATAAATTAAAGCCAGGCAGCTGAGATACCCATCGCTAAATGGGTATTGCTTTGGTTTGAAGATGTATTACATATTGATAGTATACTGCCAGGAAAGAAGTGGTAAGTTCAGAAAATTGTAAGTTAGCTGTACAACATAAAGGAATATCAAGAAGGAGGTTTCTTGAATAAATGGTACTTGTTCATGGTACACAATTCAAGAAGCAGAGGTAATATAGAGTGAAAAGACCCCTTTCTCCTCTCCTCCAACTACCTACTTCCCTCCCTTTGATACCGCAAGTGTTACTAGTTTATGTATCAGTGTAGAGATAGTCTCCATATGTAGAGTAAGTATATGTATTTGGGGGGCTTCGCCTGTCTTATAGAAGATAGGTATGTTACACACATTACTTTTATGTTTTGCAATTGATCTGGCACTAAGTCTTCCATATTAGTACTAAGGAGTGGCATACTATTCTGTTGAATGAAGTATCTGCATTTTATTTAATAATTCTTATTGACAGACATTTAGAAACAGGTTATATCACATTTATTTTCATGCTTCTCTTGCATTTTTAAGGAAAAAGATGTTAGAAAATTGTAATAAAGTTAATATGAAATTGAAGGTAAGCCCTAGTGCTGAGTGTGAGTTTTGCTGATGATACGTGCTATTTTTAAATTTTTAGAGAAGAATTTAGTTCTTAGAGGGCACGTTTTATATAGTTCTAAATACTGATTTAGCTCTGTGGTAAGTTTTCAAAAACTATATGACTTTTATGGAGCACATTTTTAATGCAGAATCCACAGAGGCCATAATATAAAATCACTGATAGGGTTTAATAATCATTTTAATAATGACTGTTACCTTCTCAGAAAAGTATAGGAAGTCCTCAGAACCCAATGCAGGTGTTTTCAGTAGAGAAGAAATGTAAGAGCCAATGAGAAAGGATGAGGGCTTGTTTACTGAGCCTTTTAAGATGATCTAGATTAACTGTTGAGTCAGCTAGTTGCCACGTGCATTTTCTGCTAGAACTTTCTATCAGTGTATTTTCAGAAGCCAGGAATAGATTTTTTTAGATATTGTCGTTGAGATGACAGAGGGTGTCTAGGCTAGTCTGTTATGCAAATAAAATAGCTTGATGTTTTATCTCTGCTTTTCAGTGTCTTTTTGTATATTTCTTAAGTATTTGTTTTTGTTGTATTCTTGTTGCTCTGTCAGCCTTTTGTTTTAATCTTTGCTGTATTCATTTTAGGATTACATGTTTTATCATTTAAGGACATGCTGTCTTAAAACTTACACAACAAGGGAACCAGCAGTTAGCGTAATGGCTATGTCGCTGGACTCCCATGTAGTCGACCACGGTTCGTGTCCCGGACCTGGTGGCTTGAAACTCACGCCGGGCGCGTGTGCGTGCATGCTCAAGATCCCGAGAGGAGAATGGAGGAGAAGGGATTGCGGCGTGACCATCCCCCCTGGGGGGTGATTTCTCGCTTTCTGTCTCTATGTCTCTCTCTGTCTGTCTGGCGAGCGCACGAGCCCTACAGTGAAAATCTCTCCAAAAAATAAAAAAATAAAAAATAAAAAAAACTTACACAGCAAGAACTATGAAGGAATACCTAACCCCCTTACCTTGAAAAAGTTACTTACAGGATGCCTGCTAAATTCCAGATAGTATTGTCTGAAAAAAAATTAATGTGTATATTGATTTTGCTAATTGGAGTAAAAGTTACCTTTGAATATTTTATTCATGTTATAGGGCTTTTTTTATGGTTTTGTAAAAACACATGATAATAATATTGTACTACATGACGGAGGAGAAAATCCTGAATTTGACCTCAGAAATCTTGCATATGAACACCAGTTACTTATTAGCCATGTGTAGTTAGGAAAATCACTTACCTGATTCAAGCTTCAATTTTCTTATTTACAAAATGGGATAATAATTCCTAGTATGATTTTCTCATAGGGTTAGTGGTAATCAGTTTAATTACCAAGTGAAATGATTTAAAAATAAATATAATAGTAAAAATTTTATAAATAAATAATAAATACTGATACTATTATATATGTTTCACTATCATGAATTTAAGAAATCATGAATACCATGGTTTTATGTATATTATGACTTATACATACTATAGGATGGGAGGTCTCCAAAAAGTTCATGGAAAATGTGTATTATGAAAAAACTATGCATAGATTTCAAAATTTCTTTGCACCAAAATAAAGAAATAAACTAATTCCATATTTTTGATATATGGTGTATATAATGCTTTATGTTGTGTAGTTATGTGTCATGTCTACCATAAAGAGTTGTTCATTTTGAACTGATTTTCTATAGGGGTTTTTTGTTTTTTTTAGAAGAATTATTTATTTCCATTTGTTAATATTCTTTTTTAATTTGACAAGAAAGAGAAAGGGAAAGCAAGAAAGCAAGCCACCAGGTCCTGGACTTGAACTGCAGTTGGCCATATGGAAATCCAGCGCCTTTAACCACCATGCCATCTGCTGGCCACTATACTCTGGGTTCTTAGACATTAAAATCAAAATATACTCTATAGAGGGAACCAGCAGTTAGCGTAATGGCTATGTCACTGGACTCCCACGTTGTCCACCACGGTTCGCGTCCTGGACCCAGTGGCTTAAACTCACACTGGGCGCGTGTGCATGCGTGCCCAAGATCCCGAGAGGAGAATGGAGGAGAAGGGATTGCGGCGTGACCATCCCCTCCTGGGGGGTGATTTCTCGCTTTCTGTCTCTATGTCTCTCTCTGTCTGTCTGGCGAGCGCACGCTCCCTACAGTGAAAATCTCTCAAAAAAAAAAAAAAAAACTCACGCCGGTTGCGTGTGCATGTGTGCCCAAGATCCCGAGAGGAGAATGGAGGAGAAGGGATTGCGGTGTGACCATCCCCCCTGGGGTAGTGATTTCTCGCTTTCTGTCTCTATGTCTCTCTGTCTGTCTGGCGAGCACACGTGCCCTTTAGCGAATACCTCTCCAAAAAGAAATATATATTATATATATATATATACTCTATAGAACTTTACACTGTTGCTTCCCTAAAAACTGCTTTGCTCTCTGCCCCGATGAACTTTAGCATTGATATAGATTAGAATCATCTGAAGGGCTTGTTAAAACCCAGATTTTGGGGTCAGCAGGTGGCATGGATGTTAAGGTGATAGATACCACAAGACCCGTTGCATGGTTGAGTCCTGGACCCAGGGGCCTGAAATTATGCTTGGTGCATGTGTGTATGTGCCCAAAATCCCAAGAATAGAATAAAATAGAAGGGATCTTGCATAGCCATCTCCCCTGGAGAGTGCTGTCTCACTTTCCCTCCACTGCCCCCCCTCCCCGCAAGCATACATGTGCCTTATAGCAAAAACTAAACAGACAAACAAAAGCCCACAGATATTTGG